GAGAGAGGCAGGAAGAGTGAGATGAAGCAGTTGAGTTTCTTCAGATTAATCAGAGAGTCACATCACTCTTTCTTCAACAGGATGACTGGGATGTGGAAGAATTTATCTCAAAAACCTGCTTGGGGAGGTTCCTCCATCATTCATCTTTCAAGATCCTGTTAGCTACCCTTGTAATCAGCAATGCAATCGTCATTGTTCTCCAAACGGATCCGACACTAGAAGATGTTGGTATACTATGCATGGCAGGAGAACTACTTCCTGCTAAAATGTGGGGGTGGGAGAAGACCTGTGCTTCTCCAGGGATTGTTACACTGGGAATGTCCTGGGTCTTCTGCTGATCTCTGGGCTGCATTTACCCTCCTAACCCCATTTTTGTGACCATGAGTCATACGGAACTTGGATAGCAAAAGATCATTTCAATGGTGTAAGTCTGAATGTTTAATAAAGTCTCAAAATAGGAGACCTAAATCTCCTCAAGACTTAACATTCTTGTTTTGATTTTTTTTTTTAAAGTTCTCCACCCTTTTCCCAACATAATAAAAAATAAAACATGTGGAGCCCACGAGGTGGAGGAGAGTCTCATGCACTACTGCCCTTGCAGGCTGTTGAGAAACGTGCTCACTTATCTGTAAAAATATTGCCCATCCCTACAATAAGGAAATCATGGATAAAACCCACTGCTGCTCCCTGGTCTCACTAGCATGCATGCAGATGTGGCATTATCATGCAAATGAGGTCAATATCCAGGCATTAAAGGCAAATTATGACAACGTTCAGTTATAAAAATGGAGGCATGCAAATCTCTTTTTGTTCTTCTTTTCCTCGCATAGAAATATTTCGGCTTATTCTCTGCCATCGACACGATTGTTCTGTCTTTTCTAATCTGTGAAGTCATTCTAAACTGGTATTATGGATTCTGTTTGTACTGGAAGGTGAGAGCCAGCTGGCGTGGTGTTTTGTCTTAGGTTTTAGTCCAAAGAACCAGGGCCCCCCAACTGAATCTTAGGGCAAACAGATACATATTGAGAATTAAAATAATTCTGAGCCCCTTTTTGCCATGCAATGCAAACTGGGGAGCGGCAGTTGGGTTGGACGCTCAGAACAAATGCAGATCACCCAATCGTCCCATAGAGAAGCTTACTCCGGCTTATCCGAGTCTTTCTTAATTGTAGCACTGTAATTTAGGATGGGTAGGCCGTTTCATTGTGAATCCCCCAAAGATCATTGGCAGATTCAGAGCCATCTTCTATCTGCTGTAGGTCTCTTCCATAAGGCTGTGAGAATCAGGTAACTCTCCTACCTGCCAACAAAGGAAGATCTGCCTCCAATGAAGAGGAATCCCAGTCTGATCATCCTCCGTGTGGTTCGCACGGAGGCAGTTTGCAATCCACAGGGTGGGAAATAGAGGAGAGAGCTTATCCTAAAGCAGAAATGGGCAAACGAATGCCCCTCTCCCCTGTTGAAAATTGTGCTGAGGAAGCCGCTGGTATGAGAAATGGCTGCTAGTCGCTGTTGCTCTGCTGTAACCAATGTATGATTGATGGGTGGAATCTTGGTGCAGAGGAAGAGAATGCTCCATATTTGATAGCCTCCTGGGTGTGAGACATGGAATGAATCAACTCCTCTAAGGTATTCTTAGGCAGTTCTATCTAGGTCCCCAGGTGTTGGATTGCTCCTCCCTTCCTTCTAATTTGGATCTGAAATTCCTGGAATTGCCTTACTCCTGGGACTGCAGAATTGGAAGAAGCTTAATCCTTTCAGATGCCTAGCCTTCATTTCATTGTTTTTTCATTCTTCTCCCCCTAAACAGGATGGCTGGAATTTCATCAATTTTTTTATTGTACTGTATCTAGCCATTGGATTGATCATTCCTATACTGGATAATGAAACACTTTTTCGAATGGCCAGGTAAGAACATACATAAAAATGTAAGATGAGCTGTGCTGGATCAGGCTAAAGATTTGTTTAGCCCCTGTTCTGTGTCATCCAGTGGCCAACTCAATGTATCTGGGAAATTCACAAGGACAGACACAAACAATCTCCTTAACCATTACTCTTAGCAACTGGTATTTCATGCTGTTTGTGATTCAGAAGGTTCTCAACCAACTTCCAGCTTCCTTTTATTCCCAAATAAAGATACATCTTATATTCTTCCAGATGGACTGATCCAATTTAGATTTGGAAGAGTGCCAAACTGGATGTCAGCAATGTACAGGCAGGAACCATAGCCCTGTGAAAGAGCACATGGTCTGCATGCATGGAGACCTCAGGTTCAGTTCCTGGTCTTGTCTGTTAAAAAAAAGGATCAAGCAGTAAAGGATTCTTGAAAGACCCTGATTAGAGATCTCGGTCATCTGTTGCTAGTTAAGGGATGCATTCTGGGTTTCACAATACATTGAACCATAAACTAATCTAATGACCTGGATTCAGAAAACATACTGAGCCACAAAAAATCTAAGCCAAGTCAAAACTAACCAAGCTTAACATGCTGTACAAATGCAACCATTAGGTTTGTAACTAGCCTAATAACTGTATGTTATGTATGCATAGACTCTAGAAGATAAAATTGGTCAAGAAGCCACAAAGCCCTGCAAATGGTTTAATATGACAGGTAAATAATAAACAAGGGTTAAAGAATGTAATCAAAAGAAGGGGACCTTCCATGCCTGGTGTGACAAGATTGGGACAATAAGCGCCATGTTAGTCCATTAGATGGACCAACAATCTGATCTAATCCAAGATGGTTTTCCTGCTAGGTTCCAAAACATATAATTAAGATTTTGTGAGCTTCCTGTTTCTACTGTACAGTATAATACATGATTGTGGATTTCAGTGCACTGTTGTGCACACTGGATTAGAATATAATTAAGATTTTGTGAGCTTCCTGTTTCTACTGTACAGTATAATACATGATTGTGGATTTCAGTGCACTGTTGTGCACACTGGATTAGAATATAATTAAGATTTTGTGAGCTTCCTGTTTCTACTGTACAGTATAATACATGATTGTGGATTTCAGTGCACTATCTGTTGTGCACACTGGATTAGATGAAATATTTATTTATTTATTTTTCAGATTTGTCACCGCCCATCTCACTGCAGAGTGACTCTGGGCGGTTTACAGTAAAAACAGGACAAACATGAATTAAAATAGATAAATATTAATTCATTAAATATGCTACAATAACAAATGTCCTATATAATACTTCCAAGAGGCTGATGTGAATTAGGCGTTGATAAATATGAATGCCACGTCTTCTGTTCAACTGGAGTCTGTGCTTCCCTCACATTGTCTTGATAGCTCGTTTCAACTTAATGGTTGGATTCTGAAATATGGCCATTGGTTGAGCTGGTTGTGACAATGGCAGTTGAAATCCAAAACATCCAGAGGGCATCAGATTGGGAAAGGATAACTTAAGAGGAAGCATTCCTTTGAGCTGTCAGCTTTGTGTACGCATATACGGACACATTTTCTTTTTTCCTTCCAGAGTCATGAGGCTGATGCAAGTTTGTACCTTGGTTAATGGCCTGGCAAGGATGTTCCAGGTGATCTTGCAGTCCATTCCTGACATGGCAAATATCATGATCTTACTTTTTGCCATCATGCTGGTAAGGTGCCTTCATCAGATTTCCTCCCCACACCCCAAGCTAAATTCTTTTATTTGGAAATGAACCGAGACCTTATTGGCCCCGTTTCCTTTTCCTTCAATTTCATGGGTTTATTTATTTATTTATTTATTTTCCTATGGTTTTCTTTTTACTTAAATAGTCAGAAAAAGGTAGGTTTGACTTCTCCAGGGTTGAGCATTTGACTTCTCTGTGTCAAACTTGGAGATTTCTCCAGAATTCTGAGGACCTAAAGCTGACTTCACATGTGCAAGTTGATGACCTGGCTATGTGAATTGGCCATCTCAGGTACACCGAGATCAAACCACAGCATTTCCAGTAGAAGAGATCAGATAGCAGGTGATGTAAATGGAGAATTGCATAAAGTCCTAATAGATTATCCTTCCCCAATGTGATGTCTTCCAACTTGTAAATTTCTTCTTTCAGAACTGCTAACTAGCAATGATGGTTGGGGATTTCTGATGCTGAAATCCAACATGTTTGAAAGGCACTAGATGGAAGAAGACTGGAACCAATCAAGATGATTTATTTATTGATTTAAATAATGTATATGGCTGCCCATCTCACAGCAGTAACTCTGCATGGTATACAAAGATTAAAAACTAACAATTATAAATCATAGTCCATTATGCCCAAGGTAAATAATACAATTCAACCATGGCTTCCGTATACATTACAAATTATGCAGTAAGGCAAATACAAAAATGTAGAATATACTTTCTAAAGTTTACATCAATAAAGACTGCAAATCAGTTGGAGAATAACAAAGGGGAACGTCAAAAATGAAATGTTTTTCTATACTGTTTTTAGGGATTTTTTTTCCTCTTGTTTTCCTTTCTTTTTTTCCTTTCCTTGTTAATATTTATAAACAATAATACAATGGAGCCTTCGTTACGAAGCTCAAAAATTCCTATTTCTTTTTTCCTTTTTAATATTATAAAAGCAGCTTAATGCATGTTGCTTGGTATCTTTTATTAATGTTAAGTCGAGCACAATTACATATTGGTAATAATTATCTGTCCATCTATAGACATTATCATTTTTGAAAATATATCTCTGTTTTAAATAAAAATAATAATAATAGTAATAAAAAGTACATCCCAGTCATAAAACCACGTCCACCACTGAACTTGCCTTACTGCCAGGCCCAAGGTCTTCAGAACCTTACAAAAGGCGAACAGGGTCCAGATCCAGCTGGAGCCCTATAATCACATGCTTTTCTCTACCTAATGTTGAAAGCTTCTGATCATTCTGGATCTCTGGTAAGAATTGTTCTGCCCTTTTCCATAGGGTGGAAGAAGAGAAAAGAGAGTGGCTGGAAAAGAAAAGGAGGTATCACAGAGAGAGAGAAAAAAAAAGTCTCTCTAGCCTTGCCATGAATTGCTTGGTTCGGTCATGGCAAGGCTAGAGAGACTTTTCTTTTCCAGGCACTCTCTTTTCTCTTCTTCCAACCAATGGGAAAAAAAAGAAAGAAAGGAAAACAAAGAAGAGAAAAACATCCCTAAGAACAATATAGAAAAATATTTCATTTTTGACTTTCCCCTTGGTTGTTCTCCAACCAGTTTGCAGTCTTTATTGATGTAAACTTTAAAAAGTATATTCTACATTTTTGTATTTGTCTTACTGCATAATGTGTAATGTATATGGAAGCCATGGTTGAATTGTATTATTTACCTTGGGCATAATGGACTATGATTTATAATTATTAAGGGCAGAAAGTCCTTAGCAGAAACAAGAGCTGTGTCCCTCTGGAGCAGGTGATCCTGCAAGTGTGAAAAATAGTCTGAGGAACTATATGGCCATTTC